GGACAACCAGCAGAAAGTAGATGAATAAAAGTTATCGGTTCTATTCAGAGCAAATTATATTAATGTCCTTGATTTAAAAACATCTGTTTCAAATATATATTTTAGGCTAAATATCAGGTTGAACAAATTCACAGTCATGCAGACACATGGCTTATAAATCACGAAACGTTCAGCCAAATGGAAAGTAGTCCAACTTCAGCACAGAGAAGATGAGATGGGTTCTGAGTGATTTTCTTCTCTGGGTTGATGACAGTTTTGTTAAATGTGGACTGAAGGGAATAGTTGTCACTCACACTAACCACCTTCACTGCTCCGGGACACCAGCTGGTTCAGCTGAGACCTGAGGGGAGCCGTTACCAAACCAAGCAGACGTGCTTCACAGAAAGATGGACTAGGAATCTACTTTTTAAAATAATCATTTCATTTTATTTTATTGCAGCAGTTATCCCATCAAGATTTGTCTTCAGGTGGGCTAGAATAAATGTTTTTTCATACTTTTTAAAAAAAAATTGTCAACCAGTGACCTTTTGCCCATTGAACAACGGGAGAGCATTTCTTAAAGGTGTGAATATCACCTGCCACCTTTCACACCAAAGTTTAGATTTTACTGATTTTATCTTCACGATAGTTTTAGCTCAGTCTTGAAAATAACATTTTTACATGATCACTTACAGTACTGGAAGATCTTGTGCAATTTATTACGGCTTGGAGTAGGTGTTGAAGATAACTCTTAGATACTACCACACCACATTTTAGCTCAAATGCTATGAAACTGACTGGGTTATAGCCATGTTTGTGTTTGCTTTTTAATTCACTGGGGCAACTATCTTGAAACAAGAAAAGTATAAAAGTTTAGTAGTTGTACACATCCATGGATTACTTCCTAAATGTTTCACTGAAACTCATCCAATGTTTTATGAGATAATTTGCTAAGAGACAGGGACGACAGAGTGCTCTCCAAAATTGATTAGTTGTCATCTAAGTTCAACTGAAGATCTCATGCGACGAGATAATATAGCAGCACAGTGCCGTGCTGCAACAACTGGTCTCGAGAATTGACTCATCATTTCATGGAAAATTATACAGTGTGTCAACTTTCATCTAAATCTGTCGCATCCACTGAGAGATGCACTGAAATTATCAAGAACAGCTGCTGCATGAAGGAAGACGTAAAAATATGAGCAATCAAAAACAACTTTTTCTCCACAGTGGTCATATCATATCTTGGTCAGGGGGGCATCCAGAACGTTTTCAAATGGATGGTCAGACTGTGGGGTAGGGGTTAATGTTACTCTTGAGGTGGCTCGCCAAAATCTAAAACCCCAACATAATTTCAAAAGTTTCAGTTGTTTTGTTTTTTTTACAATTGATATTATAGAATAATAGCACGGTCACTCTTTAACACTGAAGATTGTCCTTTGTTCTCTTAAATTTGTATTCCTAAAGAATAAAAATGTGTGGATAGATGGGAACTAGCCTTCCGTTAAAGAATCCATATTGCATGCCAATGTTTTAAACAAGAATCTTGTCAAATCTGTAAATGCTCAAAGTATATATTGTGAATGTCTCTGTGTTATTGCCGCACCAAATTTTATTTCAACATCAATAAAGTTGACTGAGTTAAATACACTTTTGTGTTTTCTAAGGCTGATTAGCTGTGGTGGTCATCTTGAATCAAGCTGACCCTTAGAACAGTGGGTTGCGTGGTGATAAATAAAACTGAGTTTGTGTGTGTGGGTGTGTGTGGGGGGGGGGGGGGGGGGTTGTGAGAGAATAAATAAAAAATACATTCTATTCTTTAGTTGTCGTCTGTAGTTTTATATTGGGTGGCCAAGATGGGATAGAGGCAGGTCAGCGGACTCGGGACCCGAAAGTCCCAGGTTCAATCCCCAGTCATTGCACACCTCGTGGTGTCTTTGAACAGGACATCCTATCCCCAATTGCTCCCCGGGCACCCTCAATAGCTGCCCACTGCTCCACCTGGTGGTGGATGGGTTAAATGCAGAGAGCCAATTTCGCCATGGTATGGAAACATACAGTGATGATAACACATACACATTGTAGGAGCAGTTGATAAATGAATATATTTGTGAATGGGTATTAGGTCACATGGGTAATCAGCTGTCTGTATAGTAGGAACCTTTCTTTGTGAGTGCAGGTGTTTCACCCGAAAGGGGGAAACAGTTTTTGACCGCTGAATATAAAAGAGACTAAATGCTGTCAACGGATGCAAGTGTTGTGGAAATATGTATTGCCTTTAAATGGACACAGATGAAACGTAAAGAATAAATGGATTACCTGCAAACGAGCAAGGACGGCTCTGACTTTAATCCATCTGACAAGGTAACAAGCAGCGCGTCAACACTACCCTGGTGGATCACCTCAGTGGCTTAAAGCATTGGCTTGGCCTCTACACACATTATATTTATTATTCTTTAGTTCTGTTCTTCAATTACAGAAGAAATGATTTAAGCCACACTAATCTAGACATTTCAGCAAAACTTTCAAGTAGATTGTAACGTAGAAGAGAATAAAATTTCATGTTTATGTAGAGTTTAACATAACAGGGGCATACTACACAGAAAAAAGTAGAAGACCAAGAATGGACCCTTGAGGGACCTCTCTAATGATGGAAGCTGTTGGAAATGACGACCCAGATAGACAGACAGAATAGCTTTGGTCTGTTAATTTTTTTTTTACCCAGTCGAGAGCTGTTCTTTTACTGCCACTGTAACATTCCAATGGATACAAGGCATCCTGCGATGATTTAATGCATCCAACGCTCAAAATAAACACTGGAAACACGATTAAATGAATTACTCTCATGAGTGCAATGAGATAATACCAAAACACACCGCTAGTGGTCAATGGTAAGCTTAAAAGTCTTCTAATCTACACTGTGTGAGCAGACTGTGACATATGGTGTTTGTAAGCCTTTGGATGGTGCCAGTCGGGCGGTTACGTATCAGGGGTTAAAGTGGGTATCACTCTGCGTGGCTGCACTCTCAACTTTATCCCAGTGCTGTTTGTCCGGAATTATTTAAATGGCGCAGTGTCCCCGCAGAGCAGATCAAGCCCACTTACAGGTCAAGGTGTTAATGAGAAGACCTTAAGCCTTCTGTTGAGAGCGACAAAGGCCAGGTGGAGGTGGAGAGTTAAAAAGGGGAAAGGTGGCCAAGTAGAGATGTTCTCTGCACCTTGAAGCCCGGGTCCTTCTCATCCGCAACCACCAGCTGCTCTGCTGTCTCGAGAACACAGGTAAGCTCGCTTTTCTGAATTCCCTCAAGACCTAGGTTGTTAAGATTTATACACTAAGCAGGATGGAAATAAAGTGAAGCTAGGACAAGATCTATAACTGAGCCAGTCGACTGTGCCAAGGAGACTGGAAAACAGCCAAGAAGGACGGAGGAGTGGCGGACCTATTAAAGTGCTCTGCCAATTTTTGTAAAGCCTGGCACAGGTTACATTGTTAAAGACACTCAAATTGATTCATTTTACATCCAATAATCTGCGGTATACTACAAGATGTCCACAAAAAGGTTTATGCAGTTTCTAAGTGACTGCTAAATATGGTTTTCACCTTATAAAAAGAGAGTGACTTTAAACTTGTGAGAGGGTGAAAAGTTCATCAACAGTGGGATTTAACTAACAATACAAATTGATTTTCTGTCATTTTTGACAAATCCTTACCACTTACAAGAAATGGAACTGCAAGGGCTACACAGCAAAGAGCTTGACTAGCCTTGAGAAAGTGACTTATAACCCTGGTGGTTTTGTATTTTAGTACAATTACACATTTACATGTTGCTATAAAGCATTCAAATGAGCTGGGAAATAAAAATAAATAAAAAGCAAATTTTCAGGAATCCTGCAGAGCTAATTTGAAACCTATACTTTGAATGATGTCTAAAACGCAGTAATAGAATGGTACCAATAAATGTCACGAAAAACAAACGTTAGACGTTATATTTGATTTAAAAAAAAAATCCTGTTCCATCAGGACAAATTAAAAAAATTAAAAGAACCTTAAGTTGTTTGAAAAAAAATGCGTATTGCCTGTCGACTTGCATGCAAAAGTTTTCAACAAAAATTTGGACTGATCCGTTGACATGGAACCATTTTTGAAGTTACTAAGGTTGATTAGCTGTAGCAGCCATCTTGATTTTTGTTAGCAGCGTGACAGCTTACTGGTCACAGTAAGAAGTTCCTGGGTTCAATCCCCAGTTTGGACCTATGTTCTTTCTGTAGCAGGTTTGCATGTTCTCCTCGTGTTTTCAGGTTTTCTCCGGGTACTTTGGTTTCCTCCCACAGTTCAAAACATGCATGTTGTACCTTCAGACCCAGGCCTCCCTTGCAAGAGACCTGTGATCTCAATGGGATTTGTCTGCATTTAGCTTAATAAAATGGTAATTAAAAATTGGTTACGTTCACACCAAAAGTGGCCTTTTTATTATTTTATAAACATACCTTTGTTTGCTAGCTTTAAAGCTCATATTTTGAGTCAGGATATGGCTGTCTGCCGTTTGGCTTGTCTGGAATTATGAATTTTACCAACAACAACAAAAAATCTGAAAAAACAACATTTTGATCTAACAAGGCTGAATCAGTCCACTGGACATATTCTTATTTGTTGAAACATTTCGTCTTTTATCCAGTGGGGTAGAGGCAGGGCAGCCGACTCAGGACCCGCAAGTCCCAGGTTCAATCCCCAGCCATTCCCACATGCCGTGATGTCTCTGAGCAAGACAACTAATCCCCAATTGCTCCCCGGGTGCTTACAAAGCTAACTGCTCCACCTGGGTGTACCTGATGGGTTATGCAGAGAACTCATTTCAGCATCGTATGGGAACATAACACAGCAATTTACTTTACAGAAGACTTCTTCAGTCTGAGGAGCTTCAAGCAAGTACCTGGATTATTGAGCGTTCATCAGGACATAATTTGACACGCTCGGTCCTGTTGTTTTCTTTTTGTGCTCTGTTCCAAGCGGTTTCCCTCTCATGGCCAGGGTACCATGGGTGGTGTCGGCACTGGTACTGCTTGTGTTCTGCTCTCCAGGGGCTTCCTCAGCCCCCAGCGGACACCTGTGTGGTTACCACCTGGTGGATGCCCTCTACTTCGTATGTGGAGAGAGGGGGTTTTTCTACAATCAAAACCGTATCCACAAACGAGATCTGGAACAGCTTCTTGGTAAGGATGCTCGTTTTAGCAGTACAACCATAAAAAATATATATTTTCCTTTTTGGGAAAACCAATAAGGCAATTTTGAATTGTATGGCAGCAACACATCTCAGGGTAGTGAGGACAGGGGCAACAAAAGACTAAAAATGAGTTGTATGAAAAATAGACCCTGATGGAGGAGTTTTGTAATAAATTTGAGTCATTGATAACAAGTCAGTATGAAGGCTGAGTATAAAAAAAGAGAAATTTAGAGATCCCCAATCTCTCAGAAGTAAAAATGGGCAGAGGTATCCACTGCTCATAGCATCATCAAAACATTTAGGAGAAAACATTGAGCTCAGAGGACAAGGCTGAAAGTCAGTTTTGGATGTTTGTGATCTTCAGGCCCTCAGGTGGTAAACCAGATCTGATTCTGTTGACACCTCGGCACCGACTCGGGAACATTTCCACAAATCACTGTCTGTCAACACCATCCACAAACGGTGGTTAAAGCTCCATCATGCCAGAAACCACCATCCAGACACAGCGCCATCTTCTCTGGGCCAAAACTCAATTAGCATGGACTGAGACAAAAGAAAACAGTAGTTTTATGGTCTGACAAATTAAAGCTTGAAATTATTGTTGAAAACCATGACTGTCATGTCCTCTTAACTAAAGAAGGGTGGAACCACTGCTTAAGTGTTTGCCTCTCTCATGGTATGGGGATGCATATGGCACGGGCAGTTTAGACATCTGTAAAACACCGTGAATGCTGAAATGTATATACAAGTTTCCAAACGATGCTCCCACCAGATATATTTTTCAGGTAGTCAGCACGACAATGCAGAAGAATCTGGGTGCTGAACGGACCTGCAGTCCACCGCTCACCAACAGAAAACTTCATCACGAAATAAAACATCCAGGACTGTTAAACAGCAAGAATCCTACATCAGAGAAGACTGGGACATCCCCCTCAGTTCCCACGGAGTGGGGGGGTTCACAGTGGTAAACATAAGCCTCTCCCCACTTTAAGATGTGTTGCTGCCATCAAACTCAGATCACCTTAGAACAACTGTTTCCCATGTTTTATTGTGGAAAAAAAAAAAAGTTTGAGATTTGCAAATCAATGCATTTTTTTACGTCTCAATTATTTCATCATTTGGTTGCAGTTGCTTGCTTCCTGGTTTGTACAGAAAAATATTTTCAACGCCTCCTTGACAGTGGGAGTTTAGAAACTAACACGATGTTGCCGAAAGACCCCAGCATGGCACTTTATGCCAGTTCTGCATTTTCAAAGCACAGACAAAACAAAGAAACTAAATGTGCTAGCTGAATGTTTAACAGCAACACCGTGCAGAAAATTCTACTGCACTAATTTGAAACATTGGTCCATCTCATTATTTATGTGCCGAATCCTGTCTCCCAGCTTCTCTTATTCAAACTAACTTTTCTTTTTTGTTGTTGCTTTAAACTTCTGATGCGACAAATCATTTATACAGAATCCTGCATTCCTCATTAGGCTCCTCCTGATAGCCTAAACATTATTTAGATCTCGCACCTCAAACATTCGACGGATGTTTTGAAGCCAGCATCAGGGTGTAAGTGATGCTACCTCTGCTGGAGCTGCACCACATCACTGCTGCACGAGCAAAGAGCAGCAAGACTAAGTGCACTAGTGATTTTCTTTAAGTGATGGTTTCCCTGGTGTCTATGTGTTCATTTATCACTAGCCTGAAAAAAATAAACATGATGAGCTACTGGACAGATTGTAATGAAAGATTCAGAAAGCAATCAATATTTGTATATCTACAACTGTTTAACCATAGGTTATCAACATTAGCCAAAATAAAAATGCTGTCGATTTTATACAAAAAAAATAAAATAAAAAAAATCAAATATGGCATGGTAGTTGCTGAGTCATCACAAACACCAACAAAGTCCAACAAAGTTCAGTTAGATCATCTGGACCGTTTCTTCTTTTTGTTGTTGTGTTCATCTTTCATCCAGAGGACTTCTTCAATGGCAGCAGAGTGGCACAGTTGGTAGAGCTGCTGCCTCTCAGCGAGCAGGCAACCCTGGTTCAAATCCCAGTCTGGGGCCTTTCCGGGTGGAGTTTGCATGTTCTCTCCGTGCATGCGTGGGTTTTCTCCGGGTACTCCGGTTTCCTCCAACAGACCAACTGGTATAACTCCGTTTATGAATACGAACTGTCTTAATGTACTTAGAAAAGTATGTGCTCCATCTCTGCTGATTTTCATGAAGCTAATTTACGCCACTTGTGTTTCCGTTAAAATCATTGACATATTTACGTCATGGTCAAAATGACATGCAGCTTTATGACGGAGCGGCGCCATTTCACCAGGCTGGGGTCAGGTCTAATGCATCACATACATACTGTATCTTAACTAATGATTTGTAACGAAAATATGAGTGGCATAAATTAGCTACATGAAGATCGGTGGAGATAGAGCATGTACTTTTCTAAGTAAGTCAAGACCGTTTTCATACAAAAACAAGTGATCCGTGCGACCCGGAAGCACACTGCGGATTGTGCTTCTGTAACAGATTGGGGAATGACCCGGCTGATTGGCAACTCTAAATTGTCCCTAGGTGTGAGAGAGAGAATGGTCGTCTCATTGTGAACCTGTGATGGACTGGAGACCTGTCCCCAGGGTGTACCCTGCCTCTCGCACGACGACTGCTGGACCGGCGACCCAAAAAGAAAGCGGGTCAAGATAATGGATGGACTTCTTCAGTCTGAGGAGCCGCAACAAACTGAGTCCCACAAGCAGCACCACCACATAGTGGACCAACCAGTTTGCTGGTGAGCCAGCAAACTGCAACCATCAAACTGGCTGGTCCACTATGCGCGTGCTGCTCGTGGGTCCTCAAATTGATGAAGTCCTTTCGATGAAATATATCAAATAACCTGACTGAACTTTGTTGGCTATTTTTTTTTACCTGGATTATCGAGCATGAACTTTACTTCAAGTGTTAATGATCAAGATCTTGCATAAAACGGTGCATTAAAACAATTTGACCAACACCGCTCTAATCTGTCCCTGAGAATCGCACATTTGTTTCAAACTATGCGAGGCAGCAGGCAATACTTATTTATTTAAGGATTGTTTGGCCTTCATTTCTAGTATCTTTTTAATAAATATGCAAAAAGTCTGAGTAGTAGTTTCAGGACGTTTAAATACTTGCAGGAATAACACCGTTTTTGGAAATGTTTTCCACTTCAAGGGTTCCTGTCTAAACGGGTCAGACAGGAAGTGCAGCAGTGGAGAGTTCTGTCAGGCCGGGATGAACCCAAGGTGAAAAGAGGCATCGTGGAGCAGTGCTGCCATACCCCGTGCAGCATTCACCACCTGGAGGGCTACTGTGACTGACCCACCATTTCACAACTAACGCCACTCAGTTTGTAAAAAGGTCCTGAAGTCAATTTCTGGCCCCGATACTTGCTGGCTATGTCTTATCAACTGAAGGAAATAAAGCTTCATGACCCACAACCCGAGGCTCCTCTCTGCAAACATGTGAATTTGTGTTCTAGTGGCTGCAGGACTTGGACTGAGCAGCTGCAGTCCTGCAGTGCCCTCTACTGGCTCAGAACAGACATGGCAACGATGAAGCAATCAGTGTTCTGTACGGAACATTTACGCAGATGAAGTCAATAAATCTGGGAAACTTGTGTAAAACGAGCAATACAATTTGTCTTTATTTACAAAAAAGAAACAATTTACAATCTTCCCACATGAAAAAAGTTAATAAAATTATCATTATCTAAAAAAAAAAAAGACAGGAAAAATCTAGTTGAACACATTTTTACACTTTTCACCTGGTTATACACTTAACTACCTGTGCCAAAGATGTTCCTAGACTTCTGTAAAGTACTTGCATGCAAACGCAGTCCCGATGAACTCTGTGGGACAATATAAAGTTTAATTTGGAAAACACAAACGCATAGTTTAAACATTTAGAGCTTGTAACTTTGACAGAAAATAATGACAAAACTCAAAATAAATGATTTGTCTTTATAGTTGTCTGAACTTGTCCACCAGAAGAGCTCTATTGTTCTTTATAGTTTCCTATCAAACAAACAAAAACAAGAAGAGTCACAATCAAAATTACGACGAAACAAAAACTGATTCGAGGCGGTTGAACGTTCGGCGTTCACCTTCTTTAAGCAGTTTGGTTGTTTCGGCTCCTCTGTTCTCCTTGTCGTGCTGGAAAGCTTTGCTGGGATCAAACCTGCGACGTGCGGTGCCCGGGAGCTTAGCTTTCAGCTGCTCCACGTCGCTCTTCTGGCGACTCACGAGAGAACGAAGCTTCGACACCTCCTGCAAGCACACGTTTACGAACAGATCGATAAAACGAAAGAAGAAGCAAAAAGGAGACACAAAATATGCTGCTCCACTTTATTTCATTTACCTGCTTTAGGGAGACGTTCTCATCTTTGAGCTTCATCACGTGCTTGATCTTTTGCTTCTGGTTGTGGTGCCCCAGGAGGCTAGCGTAAGCGTTAGCTAACTTATTTAATTCTTCTTGGTTGGTCCCGTTCTCATTAAGCAGCACCGCCCGCTCTGCTGCAAACGCATTAAGTTGTTCCTGTGGGCACACACCAAACGACATTATTTAATTTAACTAGCATCTGAAATAAAATACAACTTCATACAATTAACTGTCAAAGTGCATTTATTCCAATCACTTCATGTTAAATAAACGAAGACGACGGACCTGAAAAGGTCTGACTTTAGCAAACAGTTCCTCATACTGTTTCTTCCAGCGCTCAAGTTCAGCACACGAGCAGCTAAAAAGAGAAGAAAATAAATAAATAAATAAATCAGCGAGTTGTAAAAGAAATGTTTAAAAAGTAAAACTCGACCTCGTGAGGCCAGAGAAAACCCCCTGGTGCTCACCTCGTCTCTTGTGTTTCAGCTAATTGTGTTTGGAGCTGCCGTCGCTGCTCCTCCACGTCCCACTGCAGCGAGACCTTCTCCTGACTCAGAACTTCCACTTGCTCCCTCAGGGCGAGGTTCTCCTGTCCGTGGTTTTCCAGCTCGTGCACCAGAGCCTGTGCCTTCTCCTGCATGAGGTTTAATTGGGCCTGGAGGCCAACCTTCTCTTGTTCGGTGTCGTCCAGGCGAGCCCGAAACTGATCTCGGTCCTGTTCGGCGGTGTTTAGCTGGTTTTCGAGCACACGGCTGAACTCTTGAAGTTTCACCTCAGACAGCGAACTCTCTCTTTCCTCGTTTAACTTCTCAAGCTCAGCGTGTAGACTCTGTACCTCTGACCTGACCTGCTCGTGGTTCTTCCTCTCAACTTCCAGTGCTTCTTTTTCCTCCTCCAGAGCTTTGTGGATTTTTTCTTTCTCCTCTCGTTCTTCTCGGAGCTGCTTGATTATTTCTGCTTTTTGCCGACTCATCTCCTCCAAGACTTTCTGGGCTTCTTCCCTCTCATGCTGGAGTTGAGTTAAACTCTGGTTTCTTTGTTCCTCGAGACGACTCAGTGTCTCTTCCTTCTCATTTATCTGCAGCTGCAGCTCCTTCTGAAGCTGTGCCATTTGAGCCGTGTGGCTCGCCTCTGCGGCCTTCATCTCCTCCTGTCTGAGTGCAAGGCGAGCCTGAACCTCCAGCAGAACTCTGCGAGATGAACGAGAACAGAAGTGAAACGCTGACAAATATTTCAGCGTGGACAGAAAGTGAATTTCAGGCATACTTTGAATTCTCCTCAGCTTTTGCTTCAGCCAACAGTCTCTCCTGGTGCTTGTTGGTCCACTCCTTCAGCTTTTTGACCTCTTCCTCTTTCTGTTCAACCATTTTGTTCATTGCCTCCATCAGCTGCCGGGTCACTCTCTCCACCTCTGCTTCCAGCTCTCTCCGGCTTTCTTTTGCTCCTCTTAGATCTTCTTTGGTGCTAAGAAGTGAGACAATTGTTCAGTGAAGCTCAGACACTGACAGAATTTAAAGGTTCAGACGAGCACAAATCAAACTGAGCATGAGGAAATCCTGACAGCTGAGGGCTCACCTTTCCAGCTCCGAGACAAGATCTTCCATCTTTTTCTGGGAGTCTGTGTTTGCCTCCTGGAGCTCTCTCACTGTTGCTAAATGCAGCTCTGTCATCGATACCCCATCACTGCTTTTACAAACAGACAAGCATATGATCTTATGATATAACCTGGATGGCAACCTCGAAAGTCATAGGGTCACATATTTAATAATATATGATGCATGATCATTATATTTTATGATCATGTAAATAATGAAAGCCTTATGTGAATTGTACAACACAAAAATGGAAGACTGTAAAAGGTCAAAAGCTACTGGCAGATTAATCAGAGCTATGAGAAAGTTGCTAAAGCAAATTACTATGAAAATATATATATTTATCACTGGAAATATGTAAAAATTAGATTTTGTGTTTGTTCTGGTCGGTGAAACATATGCAACTCAATGTCAATCTAAAAGACTATCTATAAATTTATTTTTATTTATACAGGTAGTCTCATTGGGTCAGTTTGTAGTAGTATGAGTACTTCAAGTAATTTCACTTTAAGATTTTAATTCTAAAATCGATTTTATCAAAGTTAATAACCAGTTTGCATCAACGTTCAGCACATATTGTTTTCAGACATCTGAATTTGAACTGGAAGATTTTTTCTTTCTATTTCTATTTAAAAATAAGTGTATTATAAAATATATATTACTCTTTAGATACATTTTTTTATGAACCACCAACTTGGCTCGGAGATGCTGCAAGTTTCAAAGATTAGAAGGCCGCACTTTTTATTTGACCTGAAAAAGCTCCTCAGAAGAAAACCAAAATCGTGAACTGAAAAGAAATCCAGTTCGCCTAGTTTATAAGCTCTTAGGATCCCCATTAATAAGGCTATAAAAAGTAAACTGTAAAATATATATATATTTGTACCTAATGTGCTGTGAAGTAGTTTTTTAAAGCACAGAGCAGAAATAAATTATGGCCTTTTAGGGCTGCTTTTGATACAAAGAAATTATGTAAAAATACTCTGGAGGATGAACACCAAAAGGAAACGAGTGGCTTTCATTCAACATCTGGTTGTATTATTTAAACAGTCTCTACTTTCAGGTACTAACAAAAATAGATTCAAATGTTTACAGAGGTCTGATTCTCTTATCAACAGAGTGAACATCACGAAGGAATTAAGTCATGTAGACAAGCAGATAAAACCCAGATCAGACCGGTACATTTAACCATCACAAAGGTATCTATTTAAAATGATAGTATTTGTTTTAATGGGGTACTCACCCCATGGCCTGTCACAATAACAAATTTTGCTGGGTGATTAATTGTCTCAGAAATTATTGCGATAAACGATAATATTGATAGAAATTTGACAATACTTAGTAATTATTGTAAAATTTAAGAAGAAATGTTTATTAATTTGTTTTGAGTGTAGTACCTTTTTTGACCACCGATGGCAGTATAAGACTGAACCGAAGGACGGATAGTGAAGGAGTGAGCAGCGTGTCTAATAAAAATGGGAGACCTTTTGACACGACATGGGCCATCTCTCCGATTCTAAAGATGGCGGACACTCTGTGTGGTTTGAGCTCTTTAGTAGAGCATTTTTCACTCAAAGCTTTAATTTAAAAAAAAAAAATCAGTAAACAAGTTCTCAGCTTCTTATTGCAGAGAAAAACAACTTTGTACACGAAGGCACAGGTTTCTTCCGTGAATTTTGAAGCTTTGACAAGACAGAGGTTTTTTCCCCAAGGTCAGCTTGTTAGCTTAGCTCATAGCTTAGCTGCTTTTAACGATCCAAAAACATGATTTGAGACGGTTAAATGGATTTTAAAAAGAAAAGAAAGGGAGGGGTCGTTGAAGAGCACCGCAGTTGAGACTTTTGTCCTCCAGTGTCTTCAGAACGAGAAACACGAACAAACGATAGAGTCAATAAATAAAAATGAGGTTGATAATTTTAATTTATCATGCGATTAATTGATTTATCGTTTATGGCGACAGGCCTACTCACCCCTCCAGTAGGCTGTTCAGCTGTCGCTTCAGCTGTTCTTTTTCCTGCAGCAAGTTCTCGATGACCTCCTGACTTTTTTCTGCCACCTCCTGCCTCTTCAGCTCTTGCTCCTCCATAACAGCCAGGTCTCCCAGTATCTCCTCCATCTCCTCCTTCAGCTGTCTCATTTGCTGCTCAGACTCCTCTCTTTCCTGCTCCACCAGTGTAGTCAAAGAGTCCACAAGAGCCTGAAGACAAAGAAAAGTACCGGTAGTTGAAACAAACCTCATACTGTTGCTGTATGTTTTAGACGGATAGGAATGAGTGCTTGTGTAACCTTTTCCTTCGTCAGCTCCTCAGTAAGCGCCTCATGTTCTTGCTCAAGCTGAATCTGTCTGTTCTTCTCATCTCTGTTAGCCTGCTGTAACAAGTTCAGCTCCATCTTCAGCTCCTCTATTCTTCTGAGCCCTTCTTCTTGAGTTTTGTCTAAAACCAAACAACAACAAAAAAGGAGATATTCGATAAATTAGAAACTTTTAATAGAAGTTGAAAAGGAGAAGGAAGCTACTGGAGTCAAGCTGAACCTACTTCTTTCTTCCTCAGAGAACAGACACCTCTGTTCAAGATGTGCCACCCTCTCGTCCAGCTCCCTCTCGGTCCTCCTGAGCACCTCTCTCAGTCTGGCGAGCTCTGCTTCTTGCTGACGGACTGTTGCCTGAGAGTCCTGAACTTCTTGTCTGGTCAGCCTCATTTGCTTCTCCATGTCAGCCACTGCCTTCTTTGCCAACTTTAACTCCGTCTCTTGGTACTCTAATCTCTGCTCCGCTTCCTGTAAAGCCTCTTTCGACGCCTGTAGGTCCTTCTGGAATTTCTGGGCATCTTCCTCTTTTTGCCTCAGCAAAACCCGAGTAGTTTCCAGTTCTGAAGTTCGCTGCTCTAGTTGCATCTCTAGTTGACTGTAGACAACATGTAGACTGTAGTACATGACAAATAGGTGATAAAGAATAGAATAGAAAGAATCTTCTTACTTTAGTTTTTCCATTTGAAAACCAGCAGCCGTGTTCTCCACCGTCTTCTCTTCAATCTTCAAACGAAGTTCCTACAAACACATCAAGATAATTTTCACATTTTTCATGAAAAAGTTACATCAAAAAGCTGCATTTTGTTCTTAAAGATGAGGTTCGTACTTGTATCTGGTCATTTGCTTCATCCAAGTATCTCTGAAGTACTCTGATCTCCTCCCTCAATTCTTGGATCACCGCTGCAAAACAGAATTTCATGTTTTTGAGCATCAAGAAAAACATTTGAGACCTAAACATTGTTTGGTAAGCAGGAGACGAGATAAAATAAATTGAACAATATGCAATGTGCGCTAAAAATGCGAGACCTTTTGACATCTATGGGTCAACTTGGCAAAATGAGGTCAAAATCAACAAGATATTATACAGCGCTCACCATTTAATCGAGCGTTTTCATTCTCAGACTCGTCATTCTGGGATTTTGTCTCCTGATGCAGCTCCTCTAAAGAAAAAAAAAAAAGGTTTATCTGAAAAAACTAACTTGTCTCTTAGTATTCTTATAAAGTCATAAATCCTTACCCAGGTCTTTGTTCCTGTCAACGAGAGAAGAAACAGCTGCCTTGGCTGCCTGGAGATCCACTTCTAACGCCTTCAGTTGGCCTTCAGAGTTAATTTGTAGGAGATTTAACTCCTGGACATAACCAGACATATGTAGAAACAATCAGCCAATTTGCTGTTGACACAGCCTCAGAAAAGGTACAGTTAAGTCTTTATGAAAGAAAAGACATACCTGGTTTTTAGCATCCAAATTGTTCCTAGCTTCCATCAGCTCCATTGTGAGAGAATTGATTCTCTTTTTTGTTGTGTCAGTAGAAACCTAATAACAATAGTGATCTTTTGATATCCTCTCAATGATATTCACAGGATACTATTAAAACCATACATACAGGTCCTTCTAAAAAAATTAGCATATTGTGATAAAGGTCATTATTTTCCATAATGTAATGATAAAAATGAAACTTTCATATATTTCAGATTCATTGCACACCAACTGAAATATTTCAGGTCTTTAATTGTTTTAATACTGATGATTATGGCATACAGCTCATGAAAACCCAAAATGCCTGTCCCAAAAAATTAGCATAT